ACACACACACACACACACACACACACACACACACACACACACACACACACACACCTCGGAGACATCTGTGACATCTCCATCACCAAAGCTGCACATGTTCCTGCTCTGCTGTGGGGGCGGAGCTACAGAAAATATTCTTTAACGACTCAATTAACCCAGTAACAGGTTAATAAACATGTTATTACATGTTATTACATGTTATTACATGTTAGTTACATGTTATTTCATGTTTATTACATGTTAGTTACATGTTATTAAATGCATCAACAGGTTTTCGTAGGAACAGAATAGATTTGTTTTTTTTACTCACCTAAACTGTTTGTCATTTCTAATCAATCGTAGTTTAATGAATTAATGAATTATTGTAACAATGATTTATTTTCAGCTTCAATATGTTTTTCCTTTTTTATCAATGACTTTTGTTTTGAAATCATTTTAGATGTTTTTGCCAAATTTTTTATGTTTTTGGTGAGAACGATCGAGACYAAACTATAGATTCTGTTGGGACAAGATTTTATTTAGGAAAGATTCGAAGGATTTAGTTTAGGAATGATTCCCATGGAGGAATTTTATYTCTGGGAAAGATTGTTGGAGAAGATTCTGTTAGAGAAGATTTTTTAAAGAAAAAACATGTTGGAGATGGTTTTTGAAGAGAGATTCTGTTGAAAACAATTTCATGAAGGAAAGATTCTTTTAGGAAAAACTTCTTGTAGGGATAAGAGTTATTTTAGGAAAGATTCTGGTGAAGGAAAGAGTTTGTTAGGATTTTTTTATGTGTTTGAAAGATTTCTAGGGAGGAAGATTGTTTTGGAAAAATTCTGTTTAGAAAAGATTCTTGTTGATGAAAGATTCTGTTTGAGAAATATTTCTAAGAGAATTTTCTTGCGGAAATAAAGACGGTAAATTTTGTTGTAAGATTGTTGTAGGGAGAAGATTCTGTGAGGGAAAGATTCTTCAGGAGGTTTGGTTTAGGAAAAACTCCCATGAGGTAAAAATTATGTTTGAGATGGTTTTTAGATAAAAAGATTCTCTTAAAGAGATTCTTTAATCAGGAAGAAAGATTCTGCTTAGAAAAGATTCTGTTGGGGAAAGATTCCATGCATTGATAAAAAAAAAACCCTGTTTGAAGACAGTTTTTTTAGGCGCAAGTTTCTGTTAGAGTTCTGTGGTGAAAGAATTTTGTTCCTGCAAAGAGAAAACTCTGAAAATGTGTGTTTGAAGTGTTTGTTAAGGAAAGATTCCCAAGGTTTGATTTTTGGGACGAAAAATTCTGTTTAAAAAACATTCCTGTTCTGTGGGAAAAGAAACACATTGAGGAAATGTTAAAGAAGACTGTTTGTAGGAAGAAGATTCTGTTCAGAAAAGATTCTTGTGGAGGAAAAAATCTGAAAGATTTTGTTGAATAAAAAAGGAAAGATTCCCGTCGATCAGATGAAGGAACTGTTTTCAGAGAGCAGAACCTGTTTGGTTCTCCTGGCTCCGAGTTTTCCTCTGAAGTGAGGGGGCGGAGCTTCCATCTCTAAGTTTTCCTCTGAAGTGAGGGGGCGGAGCTTCCATCTCTAAGTTTTCCTCTGAAGTGAGGGGGCGGAGCTTCCATCTCTGAGTTTCCCTGTGAAGTGAGGGGGCGGAGCTTCCATCTCTAATGAGTTTTCCTCTGAAGTGAGGGGGCGGAGCTTCCATCTCTAGCAAGTTTTTCTCTGAAGTGAGGGGCGGAGCTTCCATCTCTAATAAGTTTTCCTCTGAAGTGAGGGGGTGGAGCTTCCATCTCTAACGAGTTTTCCTCTGAAGTGAGGGGGTGGAGCTTCCATCTCTAACGAGTTTTCCTCTGAAGTGAGGGGGTGGAGCTTCTCTCCAAAGAAAGGATCAGAGAAACTTTAGTGGAGCTCAAGCAGCGGGCTGTGGGACCACCGCTCTGCTGGGCTGTGGGACCACCGCTCTGCTGGGCTGTGGGACCACCGCTCTGCTGGGCTGTGGGACCACCGCTCTGATGGGCTGTGGGACCACCGCTCTGCTGGGCTGTGGGACCACCGCTCTGATGGGCTGTGGGTCCACCGCTCTGATGGAGACGTAAAGAACCTGTAATAAACAGATGATGTTCCTCACAGCTGTTTGTTCTTCTCTTCTTCTCTTGCAGGTATTCCTAATAACATTGGTCCAGTTAGTAAGTAAACCGTATCAAAGAGACACTTTATGAATGCTCGATGCTTTGCTTTGCTTATTGCCCCCCACCCCCCCTAAATACCAAATGTTCATTTCTGACTGTGATCCTCCTGCAGAGCCTGTTGACTAACATTGTTCCTGGCGGGGGTCAGCGTCAGGTGATGAGCTGCAGCTCCAGGCCGTCCGGTCCGGTCGGGAATATTAATGATTTTKTTCAGACTGGAGCAGATCCTGTCGCCCGGCTCTGCGTGCTGAATATCATTTGTTTTTTCTTCTTCCTCCTCTCCTCGCTCTCTTTTCATGCATTATAAATAAATGGCATCTAGACTTTATTAAAGTGCCAGGACCTCTCTGGCAGTATAATGTCACAGAGGGTCATTTTAATATGAGTCTCAAACACCTCGTGGTATTATCTTCGGCAACCAGTAGCCCCCCGAGGAGGAAGAGGAGGAGGAGGAATGGAGGTGCCGCGTCTCGAGTTACCGCTGCCTGGAAAGGCTGGTGATGCAGGAACCCAACGAGTGTATCGAACAAGTCAAAGTGCGTTCACAGCTGGGCTCAAGTCTCCTTCATCTTTTTCACTCTTCTTCCAGCAGCCTGGGTTCCAGGGCGGCGCATCGATTATCGGCTGCTTCCAGCCGCTCTCCTCAGTTCTTCACCAACCTGAGGGCCGAGCGCACGGCTYAAGAACGACACAAAACAAAATATATTCAGAGAAATTAAGATTTCAAACWGGTTTTATAAAACTGCTCAGTGTTTTTAAAGGTACTCGCTGCAAAGAATGCATTTCCTGTCAGTGCTTATTGCTGAAAACTTTAGCTGAAAGCTGCTGAAAAGGAGCTGAAAATGTTTTAATAGCTGTTAATGTAAGTTCAATTTAAAAAACTGCAAGAAGCATAAAAAATTAGCAAAAAATAGGAAAGGAGCTGAAAGATAGCTGAAAAGCAGAAAAAGGGCTAAAATTAGCTTAAAACAAGCTAAAGGTAGAAGCCAAAAGCTCAAAGTAGCACCCAGATGGTGAAAGGTGTAAAATAATCTAATTAGCAGAAAAAAATACATGAAAGAACAAAAAAGCAACAATTTGTTGTAAAATAGCTAAAACAGCTAAAATGTAGCTGGAAATTCTTAAATTAGCAAAAGGAAACATAAGAAGCACGTTAGCTGAACTTAGCAGAAAAAGCTAAAATAACCACCAAAATGTGAAATTAGCTTAAAAATATTTACTTCAGCTCATAGCAGCTGAAAAATTGGCTGGAATTGCATTAAATATCTGAA